TCTGTAGGGACCCCCCCAAAAGTCTTAAAAACCCCAAAACCTTTTGGGGTGTCCCCAAATCTTTAGGGTCCCATTGGGACCCCCAAGAATTTTGGGGTCTCCTCAACTTGTAGGGACCCCCCCCAAAAGTCTTAAAAACCCCAAAACCTTCTGGGGTGTCCCCAACTCTGAAGAATTCCTCCAACATTTTGGAACCACGGTTGGATCCCCAAAAGTTTGGGGTCCTCTGACGTTGCAGACCCCCAATATTTTAGGGTTCCCCCAAAACTTTTGGGTTCCCCCAAATCTTCAGGATCCCGTTGGGACCTCCAAGAGTTTTGGGGTCCCCTCAACTTGTAGAAACCCCCCCAAAAGTCTTAAAAGCCCCAAAACCTCTCGTTGTGCCCCCAACTCTGAAGAACCTCGAGGTTCCTCCAGCACTGTAGACCCCAAATATTTTAGGCTTCCTCAAATCTTTAGGAACCCAAATATTTTAGGGGTTCCCCAAATCTTTAGGATCCCATTGGGACCTCCAAGAATTTAGGAGTCCCCTGAACTTATAGGCACCCCCCAAAAGTCTTAAAAACCCCAAAACCTCTTGTTCTGCCCCCAACTCTGAAGGACCTTGACGTTCCTCAGACGTTGTAGAACCAGGGTTGGACTCCCAAAAGTTTGAGGTCCTCCAACGTTGTGGACCCCCCATTTTAGGGTTCCCCCGAATCTTTAGGATCCCATTGGGATCCCCAAGAATTTAGGGGTCCCCTCAACTCATAGGCACCTCCCCAAAAGTCTTAAAAACTCCAAAAGTCTTAAAAACCCCAAAACCTCTTGGGCTATCCTCAACTCTGAAGAACCTCGAGGTTCCTCCAGCCTCGTAGACCCCAAATATTTTAGGGGTTCCTCAAATCTTCAGGATCCCATTGGGACCCCCAAGAATTTAGGGGTCCCCTCAACTTGGGTAAGGTCTTCTCGGACCCCCAAGAGTTAAAAAGTTCCTAAAAACCCCAAAACCTCTTGGTCTGCCCCCAACTCTGAAGAACCTTGAGGTTCCCCCAACACTGTAGACCCCCAAGATTTCAGGGTTCCTCAAATCTTTAGGAACCCAAATATTTTAGGGGTTCCCCAAATCTT